TAAGTAAGCCAACAATAGCCTTTCAAATTACTTAAAATGCATTATATAAAAACAATGAGGCAATAATGATTGGTTAATTAATAATCATATGGTTTCATCCAATAACACTGTTAAAATACATAATGTAATACAAAATAAACAATTTATTTACATTACATGTTATTACAAATGCCTTCAAAGTGAGCCAAAGGCCTGGTAATTGCTGCTGCTACACTTAAAGGACAATCAAATCCTTGTTTAATAGGCTATTGACCAAACATTTAATAGTAGGTGTTTTTTTTTTTTTTTTACTTCCATAATATTTGAGGGAGGGGGGCACAACAATACAATCCTGCTTAGGGCACCCATTTGACCAGCAGCGGGCCTGTTAAGAAGTAGTGATCACCTGTTTTGAAATGCCTCATGTGCATAAATACCTTAAATCAGATCCAACAGTATGGTTGGATTTTCTATTGAACAAACCAAAATGAAAATCATTCAAAACAAGTGCCACTGTGAAGCAGTACATATCTAGAAGACAATACAAAGTCATTTTAAATGCAGTTGAACATATTCAGCGTAGCTCTTGATATAGAAAAAATTTGATCTTCCTCTCCATTAAATTTACATTTTATCACAATCAAATGTGTAATAACTTATAATTATAATAATTATGACTGTTAAAGGAAATACTCAATACGTTATCCACATTACAGAAGCAGAAATAATGTCACCATGAAAGCATAAAATGAGCTCACTGTAGCTGTTATGAAGCTGTTTTGCTTACAACTTCTTGTGTGTACAATGTAACACAGGCCTTATGTTAACTACTAAGTGATCCTGGATTATTCTGGATGGTAGTTAGAGATTATTTATAATTTATTACAGGGTTTCCTCAAATCTAGTCCTGGAGGGCCACTGCTCAAACCCTGATCAAACTCACTTACCTGTAATTTTCTAGGGATCTTGAAGACCTTCATGAGCTTGCTCAGGTGTGTTTGATTAGGGTTGGACCTAAACTCTGCAGGGCATTGGCCCTCCAGGCCAAGATCTGAGGAACACTGGCTTATTAGTATGCTAGGCTGACTACATTGTCCACTCAGAATATTTACATTAATAACATTGTTTCTATAATTTCTTACCGTTGAAGCAAAAAAATGGAAATAGACCATTGCAATCATAATCATTCCATGAGCTACCCTGCGTCACACCACAAGCCTCATATCCACCATAGTTGTTTGGTTCTCCGGAGCTCCAAGTGCTGAATGCAATTTCCTTATTTTGATAAGACCACCGCCAGCTATTGATGTCATTGTACAGTCCAATCCAAGCCGTCTTAGTCATTTTTTGAACTACATCTCGTAGATTCGCCCAGTCTTCATCACTTTGAACAGTAGCCAAGTCAATGTGATTCGCTGTGCAGTAAGCTTGTGCCTGTTGCCAAGTCTTCTGTTCATGAATTACAACATACTCACGTGACATGCCCCCAGTAAATGAACAGAATCCTGTTGAGAAAAGTATAGAATGTTACAGTGCGCAGAAATACACATGCAAACACTTAACCAGGCATAGTATTATGGATTTTTGAGATGAAGCAGCTTTTTAGGTGAGCTATAAAATTTGGTCACGATTGTAAATTTTTTAATGGCGATCAAGTCAAAATGTGATGAGCCTCATGATAGGGATTAAAAAACTAATATATATATTCGCGTATCTTGTCAGTGTCTGCGCTTGCTTGGCCATTTGTTGTGGAGAAAATAAGGAAAGTGTGTTCAAGCGCCAGCAGAAAACAGTGTAAAGAAATAGTCTTTGAGAGAAGCAGTCTTTATCAGTGGAAGTTAAAGAGGTCATATGATGCTGCTAAAAAGAACAGTATTTGGTGTAATGAAATGTGTTTATGCGGACACTCGACTATGTTATTAAGTTAATTTGGAGAAAAAGCATGTCAATAAATTATATATTTGTTGAACAACAGTTTTGTAAACAGTCTCATACACATGCAAAACTGTATTGCACACGTGTCAAATGGCTGCAATATAACAAAGAGTGAAAAATTTAAGGGGGTCTGAATACTTCCCGTACCCACTGTATATATATATATATATATTTATTTATTTATTTTTTTGAAAATCTGTTTTGTTTGAGGTTTAGGTTTAGGGTAAGGTAAGAGGATAGAAAATAACACTTTAGAATACTGTTTCGTCATTAATGAATAACTACAAGGGAGCACATGAGTAACGCAATATTATCACTCTAGTAACCAGCCAATTTTATTTAAATGAAGGGTTGCAAAAATGAGTATACCCTTGATTACATTTAACAAATATGCAATATTCTAATAATTCACATTTCTTCATATCTTTAAGTATACTGCTCTCGACTCTTCTTGGCACTGAGTGTACTTGTTAATGAAACATTTCACATCTATTCTGAGTAACTCCTGGAGGATGACCTCCACAAATGCTTTTTTCTTTAATTGGGGAGTGTTCCTGTTCTGGGATTGGTGATAGACATTTGGTGAATCTTTGCTCTGGGCGGCAATGAACACACCTGCAAGTGATGCAGCTTTATAGTTTCAGAGACCCACTTTATGATGTTTTATTAACAATGTTTGAGAGGAACACGTTCAGATAATTAACCTAATTAACACAAGAGGAGCACAATCAATAATCAACCTAATTAACAAGATTAAGAGGTGTATATATACACAGCAGACCTACCTCTGTTCCTTGACAGATTTCCAGCATTCGGTTTGCTCCTTTTGTCATTATATCACAGACCCAAGTTTTTCCCGTCCAAACAACGAGACCTATACTTGGGATTTTCGGATCCTCCGCCAGACATCGCCGCCGAGCCCCAGGCTTTATTGCAGCTGCCGCTCTGCTCGACCAGCCACACGCTTTTCACAAAGCTGAGGCCTACCCTCGCCTCTACCGGCAATACTTCCAACTTCTTCCCTGGCATCCTCCTATCATTCGGCCGTGCCAACAATTCCTCCGATTGGAAAGTATTAAGCTGGAGGCAAGCGCTGATTAATTCCGACGCACAGTTCTTGCGGAGGGTGAACAAAGCAGATCTGTACGATCTATACGTCACCCTGCAATTAGCCGACCTCACTCCTAAATTCACTCCTGCCCCAAGGTGGCCAATAGATTGAGCAAAGCTCGGAAGACCCCAAACTCGCCTTGCTCGACACCACCGTCTCGCACAAGACCCGGCTCTCCTTGAGCGTTGAGTCGCTGCGGTAGGCCTTCAGTGAGCCTGGGCCGAGCCCCAGATCTCACCTCAGCAAAACCACACTCGCTTCCCACTTTGGCTCAGCCTTTCACCGCGGCTCTTCCTGCTGCAGCATCGTATGCAGCCGGGCCTCCAGCTCCTGCATCAGACCCTAGCGCAAGGCTGCCTCCGCTAGGGGCGCAGGCCACCAGTGTTGCCAAATAATTTTCAGGTAAAATCGCTAAAGGCAGGTCACTTGTTGTTAAATGACGTCGCAACATCATTGGATGTTAATGTCATTATGTAACCATGGCGCAAAAAGTGCGTAGAATACACACTGAAATCACTCGGATAAATAACAATTAAGGTGTATCATGAATAAACTATGATTGAACAAGTGCAACTAGCTACTTAATTCACATATGATATGTGGTACTGCTTGGCACCTCTCTCAAAGTGTCAACCAGCTGATGTGCTGCTTGGCTGGCTAGCTGTTTCAATACTTTATTCTTTTTGTGTGGTTAAGAGGAAAACGCATGTCTTTTTATCATTTTATTACCTTTCAAAGTTGCCAAATACATTTTTAAAATGGCTAAATTTGTTGCTAGGTGCTTTGAAAAACAAGTTGCAAGGGTACTCTGACACTGTCTACATTAATGCGGATACATTTAAAAAAAACAGAGATTTCGTTTCAAAACACTCTCCGTCCACATTAGCGTTTTCCAAAAGTTTCTCATCCACACTGAAACGTCTGAAAATGTTAAATTCGCCTTACTGCGCATGTATAAAACCTCACTGAGATTATACAGATGGAACAGACATAATAAGTTTCATCATTTTTCTTCAGGATCATTTTATTTACGGAAATATCTCATCATTCACTGATGTGCCCATGTCGCTGTAAGGCCTCTGCGAATATCGCACAAATGAACGATTGAATCTCATGAGGCTTTAATTCATGTGATGAATTAAAGCCTCATGTTAATGTATGCACGCTCCGCCTTGCAAGAAGTCGATTGGAAGATCGCGTCGTGGGACGGACTGGGCGCGGATCAAAAACCCAATGCAAGACAGACTCACTGGCTTGCTTGCTTCTTCGCCTTTCGCCATGTTAAGAGCACTCCAACTTGTGCTCACACGCTTACGAAACTTTATAGAAGTATTAACACAACTTTTATAGATGGTGTCCTCATGTGATGAATTAAAGCCTCATGTTAATGTATGCACGCTCCGCCTTGCAAGAAGTCGATTGGAAGATCGCGTTGTGGGATGGACTGGGCGCGGATCAAAAACCCAATGCAAGACAGACTCACTGGCTTGCTTGCTTCTTCGCTTTTCGCTTTAAAGTCAAACCTTGCCAAGATCACGTTACCTCGCTAGGAGCTTACAAATTATCATAATTGTATTGACCTGTGGCCAAGGAAGATACACATAGTCAGATTGTTAAGATACATGGACATTAACGTCTCGCTGGATGACCGTTGATAAGGTGTAAACTATTTCATTTGAAATCAGTTCTAATCAGGTTGACTTCGAATTTTCAGATTCGAGTCCTCTCAAAACCTGAATGAATTAATAATAATTAATTCCCTAAAATTAAGTAATCAGACATTACATCGCGCTCACTCATGTTTGATCTAAAACGCAACTTCCCTCATGTTTTGCCGCAGGACAGCAATTGTGAGTACATTTTCTGTTGTCTTCATATTACAGTCCTAAAAAGAGTATGCAAAGTAAATATCTTTAGCAACAGTTTGAAAGTGAATAGCACATAACTGCACAATTAACGTTACTGGTATAAACATAGATGTCTGTTGGTACAATATGTGTCACATGACTAAACATGCTTCATCGTTTTCAAAAGCCTCCATTTTCACAGTCCACACTACAACGTGAAAACAGCGTTTTCAAATTTATTCGCTTTGGAGAGCATTTTCAAAAAGGTCCGTTTTCCTTGACAAAATGTCTCAGTGTGGACGGAAGGGCAAAACGGAGAGAAAAAGATGTGTTTTCAAATAAAAACATATTAGTGTGGACAAGGCCTGAGAAATTGCCAAATCTAGCAACAAAATTGCTTAGTTGGCAACATTGCAGGCTACCCAGGCATTTCAGCTTGTTCCGCCAAATGTCACTAACCCTTCCACTTTCCTGCGGCCTACAGCTACAGCAGCTGAAGCAAGCGTGAAGCTGCTTCCGCTTGCAACACAGGCCCTCACATCTCAGACTTCCTCCTGTTACTTCTAACTCTTTTCCTTTTCAGTGGACTCCAGCTCCCATAGCAGACACTAGCGTGAGTATGCCTCCGCTAGCGGTGCAGGCTACACAGGCTCTTCAGGATGTCACAAACCCCACTCACTTCCCGTGGCCTACTGCAGCTGAAGTAAGCGTTAAGCTGCCTCCCCTTGCAACCCAGGCCCACACATCTCAGTCTTTTCCTCCCGCTACTAATAACCCTTTTTCTTTTCAGGGGCCTCCAGCTCCCATAGCAGACACTAGCCCAGAGGCCGATTTAAGCGTGAGGCTGCCTCCGCTGACAATTGTGGTTCCTGCTCCTCTCCCTCACAGCTCTCTACTTCATTCAAAGTCACAATATTCTCTTTTCACAGCAACCTTACTGCCCGTCCCACCAAATGCTGTCACCTCGGAGCCACCTCAGTGGCTCACAACATCCGAGCACAGATCCTGGCAGGTGCGGACATAAACCTCTCATCTAGGGCCGTCACTAACGATTCATTTGGTAACTGAGTTATCAGTAGATTATTCTGATAATTAATGGATAATTATATTTATTTTTATGGTAATAAAAATAGGCCTAATCAACAATAGCTTCTAAAATTACATAAAATACATAGATAATAGCAATGAGGCCATAATAGGTTTAAATAAAGTATCTAAAGCAAGTAACAATATGGTTTTGTTGAACAAAACTTAACATAATGTATTATAAACAATATAATGTACATTAAGCATTATATAACAAAAGCCTACAGAGGACGCCAATAGCCCGACGATTGTTTTTACCCGCCACTGTGTGATCTAATCTTTGTTTGGGTAAATAACATTTATGTTGCTTTTGTGAATTCACAATAGTATTATGCGTTATGATTTTAAATTGGTTTAATATATCATGCAGCCTTAGAAACAGTCT